AGGTGGAAGAACTGGAAATCCGCATCGACGCTGCCATAGTTACGGGGCGTCAAGGAGAAGCAGGCAATAAAGAAAAAGCACACCAGCTGCAAAGTGGCGGATATACGGTACGTCAAGAAAGAAAGCATGCACTGGAACACCTGTCGGGACACAAGCATCGCCTCAACCACAACGCTCAGACCAGGACCAGTCAGCACCATGTCAGCCGCGGCTCGCGCAGCGTCCGTCGCACCCTGCACGGCAATACCCACATCCGCACGCTTCAGGGCGGGCGCGTCATTCACGCCGTCACCCGTCATTGCGCATGTAAACCCATACTGACGAAGAGCCTCAACAATCATAAACTTGTGCTCAGGAAACACCTGCGCAAACCCACCCACACCAAGCATCATCTCCCCGTACTTTTCGCCCAGGTCATCCGGCAGATCATTCACGTCCACCTTGGGCAGCTTGTCGGCCGTTAGGATGTTCGGGTCAAGGTTAAGCATGCGGCACATCTCCTTCGCAATCAGCACATGGTCGCCTGTAATCATCTTCACGTCCACACCGTACTGCTTGCTCCGGCGGATCGTTTCCTTCGTGTCGGGGCGTGGGGGGTCAAGAAACGTCAGAATGCCGCACAGGTGCCAGCGGCCCTGCGAGTCCGTCTTCGCCACAGAGAGGCAACGGACACCACGCGCGGCAAGACTGTCGATGATTTCAACCACCTGGTCATTGATCTCGTCCTGGTTGTACACCAGCTGGATAATCACGTGTGGCGCGCCCTTCGTCACGCTGAACTTCTCGTTCGTTCGCTTGTCCACAAGGGTGGCGGCCGTGCGCTTCGTTGTCGGATCAAACGGCACAAATTCAGTCTGTGTGTAGTTGTCACACTCGTCCAAATCCGCAGCCCCCAGCACCATTGTGTCCAGGGCGTCACGAGGGGGCTCACGCCACTTCGCAGCAAGTGCGGCCAGCACAAGCACGGAGCGCAGGTCGTAGCCCTTCTCAAACGTAAAGCACTGATCCTGAATCTCCATTTTGTTCAGCGTCAGCGTCCCCGTCTTGTCGGAGCACAGCATGTTCACACCTGACATCATCTCAATTGCGGTCAGCTTCGTCACAATGATCTTGTGCCTCGACAGCTTCTTTGAGCCCACAGCCAGCGTCGTCGTCACGACAATCTCAAGGGCAATCGGAATGGACACCACAAGCACCACGACGGAAAACTGTAACGAACGGCGAAATGTTTCGTAAAACTTTAGCATCAAGTAGATAAAGCAGATAAGGCACAAAGTAAATGAGAAACTTGTCAGCACCACCATCACTCGTGAGAGAATCACATGAATATTTCCAAGATCGGATTCCACTGACTGCAGCAACACCGCAGTTTTGCCAAAAAAGGTGTTTTGTCCAGTGTACTGCACCGTCCCATCCACCTCACCGCGCACAACGTTTGAGCCCATTTTGGGCATGTGGTCCGTTCCCATCGTCACGGGAAGCGACTCACCCGTCAGCGCCGCCTCGTCCACGTCAATCACACCCTCGTTGATGCTGCAATCGGCAGGCACCGCGGAGCCGGATGCGAGCTTCACAAGATCACCGGGCACCAGCAGCGCGGCATCCAGCTGCTGCCATGCTCCGTCACGGTGGACGGTCGCCACGGGCTTCAGTGAGTTCTTCAGCGCAGCCACAGCGTCGCCTGCCTTGATTGTCTCATACCACCCAATTGTGGCATTGGCAAGCTGAATAACAAGAAGAATGGCACCGTCAGGCCAGTTCTCCAGCGCAAACTCAATGATGATGGCGACCCACAGCGCAAAAGGCATAGGACCCCATAGGTTACGCACAAATATCAGCCAACTGGGCGTTTTCTTCTCCGGGAGCTCGTTGCGTCCGTATTTGGCAAGGAGCTCTTCCGCTTCGGCCGTCGTCAGTCCCTTGGACGGCGGCAGCATTGGCACTTCATCGACGTCGTCCTCCTTGTGCTCACTAATGGCCTTGGAGAGAACGGACTGACGCTTTTGCGGCTTTTGTGGGGGATGTGGTGTTCACTGTTGGAGACCGCCTCCGTGGCTTCGTTGAGAGGGCCTTGCCCGTTTTATTTTAGGTCTTGTCGCCATTTTTGCTCGTTTGACAAAATTCGGTCACGGACGCGCTCCAGCTTTTCCTTTCAGGCTCCTTTTTAAATAAACTTGAAAAACAGGCCAACTCCCCCTTTTTGCATTTCTTTTTACTAGACACCGTTTGTCAAATGTCTTCGTTTGCTTCTTAAAAGCAACCCAAAAATTGTTTGGGTGAGAGAAAAAGAAGAACAAGGTTAGAAAGAAATCATCATAAAGAGCCATAAATGATTTTACTGCGTTGCTGGCGGCCTATCATTACGTGCATCCTGTCATTCTTTGGTAGTCTCCCGGTTAAAGAAATGGGACGTCAAGGAAAGTGTAAAATTAGATTACGATCCTGGCATTTACTTCATTAACAAAAAGAGAGGTTTCATTCCTTTTTCTCCCCTCCAAATGTGTCAAACACATGTCAGGATTCCATTCTGCATCCCCATTGTTTTCCCCATTATTACCACATGTCCCTCGCTGCACTCCAGCCCGTGTGACCCCCCTCCAAAAAAATTCTTCTCTTTACTACCATCAGCAGGACGACGCTTTTAGCTCCGCTGCTCTTGCCACTGCGCTCCCCTCATTGTTCCTGTGGCCACTCCGCACACAAACAGCCTGCTGGCAGACAACAGCAACGGAGCAATACACCAGAGAAAACCTCGTGGCTTATTTAGGCGTCCCCCTCGGTGCGCAAAAACAATAAAAAATCGTACTTCAAAAGGACCAACGGCAAGGCCAACGACAAAATCAAAGAAAATAACGTATATAAAAAAATAAATATATATAAAAGAATATATATATGTACATAAATGGCAGCAATACACCAGAGAAAACCTCGTGGCTTATTTAGGCGTCTCCCTCGGTGCGCAAAAGTATAAAAAAATCGTGCTTAAAAGGACCAACGGCAAGGCCAACGACAAAATCAAAGAAAATAACGTATATAAAAAAATAAATATATATAAAAGAATATATATATGTACATAAATGGCAGCAATACACCAGTGAAAACCTCGTGGCTTATTTAGGCGTCTCCCTCGGTGCGCAAAAACAAAAAAATCGTGCTTCAAAAGTACCAACGGCAAGGCCAACGACAAAATTGCGGAGAATAGGTTATATATATATATATATATATATATATATATATATGGCAAGGAATAGGAGACATTCTTGCTTTCCGTAACACACTCAAACAAGTCCACATGCCCGTTCCCCTTTCTTCCCAAAATATATAATAATTTCATTTAAAAGGCTTCTCGCCACAATACTCCCTCTTTGCTTGAGGATTTTTTGTAAACACAAATATTCTTGCTTCATCGTATCTCTGTTTTTTTATTTATTTTTTTTTTTATTTCTTTTTTTTTTTTTTGCGTTTTGCACAATATTTACTCATAAAAAAATTACATGCAGCGCCACCCCGCAATTACCGTAATTTGAGTTTGTGTCTTTTTTTTTTTTTTATTGCTGTGCGTTACGCCTCGCCTATTCTCGGCTCCCCGCTCCGCCTTCTCGTCGGTTTTATTTTGTTCCTAGTGGAAATCACACCCAGCTTGCCTCTGGCAACAACACTCTCAGAGGGTGTCAGAGAAAAAGTCCCCACAAAAACACGTATGAAATGGATGCAGCGTTGCAAACACCACAATTTATTTGGTTTCGCATCAGCAGCGTGCGTCAAGTGCAACTCCGACGCCCCACACACACACACACACACACTCGTCCACCCAAAAGACACCGCTCGGAAAAAAAAACGCGACACGGAGAACAAGAATACAGAAAAGGGTGTATGCTGCGCACATACAAAAAACGGGGGACTCACAACATCACAGGCGATAGACAGCAACAACAACAAGAAGAAGAAGAACACATTATGAACCCCCAAAAAAGCTGGAGTAAAGGCGAAAAAAGAAAAAAATAAAGAAAATAAGAGAATGCACGAAAAATATAAATTTTCAAGAGGCATAACAAAGGATTAAAAATGAAGCCAAACACAGAAAGGGGCCAAATCTAAAATTATAATTACTCACGGCTGTAAAGATAAAGCTTCAAAAAAATCAAATACAATACCAAAGTGCTTATCTCAATCCCACCTGTTTCAACCGCAATCTGGGCACTTTATAATTAATTCTGCATGCTCTGTCAATCAACCACACCGAACAGGACAACTCAAGATTCTCACTTCGTATTCGTTTGCCCAAAACCCACTTTTTAATGCCATTTCCGCGGCAGTAGTAGCCTTCGTTTCAATGTCAATTAATTGACTTCTTTTCCAAAGCGAAACTGCACATATGGCAACCACACGTCGGTTGTTTCTTCTCCCCTTTCGTGTCACTACCTCAGCATCAATCAAGGTGTCAGTAGTGCCCCTCTATTTTTGAAGGTTGCTTTGATTTAGCTGCTCACTGCCCCTCCCACACCATTCCTCAACTGTCACTGCGCCAAAATGGCAAGGTCAGCATATCACAGATACAACCAGTCAGCCAAGAATACCACGAGGATATTGAATATACCCCCGTCCGCTGCGGTAGCTTTGTCCTCCTCCATTCATGAGTACATGAACACACGCAGAAAAACAGAATCAAAGCTAATCGTTTGGCATTTCGACACATCCCCACAATACCGATCCACAGATACATCATCCACCGAATGAAATCACCGGCAGAACAAATTCCTCATTACAATCATTTTTCCCCAAGCTTTATACATCAAGAACCAAAATAGCACATACACACATACAGGCAAACATAAAAGACATTACATTTATTTTTTTAAAAGGCACAAACCACTAGTGGAAATAAGAAAAAACAGAACAAAACCAGTTCAACCAACATTCATCTTCTTTGGAGTCGGTTGCGCGTAATGCACCTCAACAGGATTTGCCTCATGAACCACTCCTTTTTAATTGGCAGGCTCAGTGATCTTATTCTCCATATACTGTTCAACAACTTTCCCGCCATATGCCTTCGAGACGCAGCCAAACAGGTCCATCCACTCCATGAGCATGTGCGCCCCCACCTTCACAGCGTCCTGAATAAGCCACCATACAATGCAGTAGATCCACACCCACAGCGGCAACAGCCTCTCGCTGTTCGTGTCTCCCCACGCAAGACCCTCCGTTAGCAAACCATCCGGACGAGACGTATGCCAAAAGGAGGCAACCATCGACGACACAAAAAGCGAGATAATCGCACCAATAAGCAACACAAGTCCCGGTGCCATCGTGAAGAACCAGCGTCCGCCAGTACGAGAAGAAAAGAGCGTCAAGAAATCAGAGATGGAAATCTTAAGATAAAGCAGCGTCACAACCTTTCCTTGCTTCAGCTGCGCAAGGCCAAGAGCCTTGAACCAAGAATTTGGATAAGTCTCTTCGCCCCAGCCCTCAAGGGCAATCCACAACAGCATCAGCG